TTACTCACCTCACCTGCTGAACACCACCTGTGATCTTAAGGTAGGCACAGTTACTCACCTCACCTGCTGAACACCACCTGTGATCTTAAGGTAGGCACAGTTACTCACCTCACCTGCTGAACACCACCTGTGATCTTAAAACGGTTATTGCGAGATTTTTGCTCAGAAAAACTAAATAAAGCTGAATATAGTCTTACCTGACAGCGGAAATATCACTGATTACACCAACATCAAAAATGGATTTGACCACATCGTAACAGCAATAAATTTTATCGTATGCCGATAATGCCTAATGGCAGATTGGTAAACTTGTATTTGTGTCCGTGATGAATTGAAAACAAGTGCATGACTGTACTGTGTTTATGGCAGATAAGCGGTGGCGCCACAAGCTAATCCATACTCCCTGTTAGTTCAAGATGACAGAAAAGGAATGTTTACAAAAACGATTAGTTCGAAACTGGCAGTTTTCGGTGAATACGAAGGTTCTAAGACATTTTATTGTTACTCTAGACAATTGCTGTTACTCAAGCAATAACGGTAGGTGCCATGAAAGTGGTGAAAACACTGGAAAACTCTCGCAATGGTTACTTTAAGCTCACCTCACCTGCTGAGCTGTACACGTGTGGTCGACAGGTAAGCATTTGTCTCACCTGCTGAGCTGTATACCTGTGATCAGCAGGTGAGCTTCTCATCTCACCTGTTACTATATACCTGTGATCAGCAGGTAAGCTTTCCATCTCACCTGTTACTATATACCTGTGATCAGCAGGTAAGCTTCTCATCTCACCTGTTACTATATACCTGTGATCAGCAGGTAAGCTTCTCATCTCACCTGTTACTATATACCTGTGATCAGCAGGTAAGCTTCTCTCATCTCAAACTTTTGTTACTATATACCTGTGGCTCAGCAGGTAAGCTTCTCCTCTCACACTGTTTACTATATACCGTGTGATCAGGCAGGTAAGGCTTCTCATCTCACTTGTTACTAATAGCCTGTGCTCATGCAGGTAAGCTTCCATCTCACCTGTTACTATATATACCTGTGATCGAGTCAGGTAAGCTCTATCCTTCAGCCTGTTAGCTATAATAGCTGTGATTCAGCAGGTAAGCTTCTCATCTCACCTGTTATCTATCATACTGTGATCACAGGTAAGCGTTTCTCCTCTCACCTGTTACTAATATAACCTGTGCTCAGCAGGTAAGCTTCTCGCCTCGCCCTGTCAATTGTGTAGCATTAGCCTCAGCAGGTGAGCTTCTGTGTGTGAGTGTGCTTACTTTTGTAGTTGTGCCTCAGACAGGGTAGGGTGCTTGTTTGTAACAGGTCTGCTGCTGCTGCGCTGTCTTTGACAGATCTGTGACTTTGGTCTGTGCGGCTGTTGAGCTGACTGGTCGGGCTCCTCTTCAACTGAGTATCGTAAGTGACGCGCTGGTAGCCGCGCGCGATCCGGAGGTCATGCTAAACTCCACGCGGCTACAACACCAAGTGAATCCTTGCAGGCACGCTTGCCGGCGGCGACGTTGCATGGCTGGGCGTACAGCGTCGCCGGTTCGCGCGGGGACCTGGCTTGTGATATTTCACACGATCGTTGGGAGGCTGTGAAACTTTATTTTTTCAGGGATATTTTTCGCGTATTTCGCGATGAAATTGGGTCAGTGAGTGGGAGGTGTTGATGGCGGCACTGCTGGTCATAGTCATGCCACTGTATTCTCCGCACGGTGTGGACATAATTCTGACGAGATTAGTTAATATGTGAGCTTGCCTCAAAGGTCAGCAGAGTTTGTGTTTTTGCGATAAGCTAGCAAAAGCTAGCCATGTGGTGCTTTATTTTTAGGTTCAAGTTTATATCGGCCGCACGATAATTCGGCGAGACCGTTGTTAAAAGCGTCAACGATGACGCTTTCTTATAGTGCTGCTAGCTACAAATCTGAGAAGTTGCATGAATTCTAACACGCACGTTGGAGTTTTAACATAATAATGAGCCATCTATATTTCCAACTTATAGTATGTCAAGCAACTGAATGAAGCCGTAGGCGAATGATAAATAGCCGTGTGGAAAATCGAATGCAAGCAACATCGTTCTGCGGAGAACATTGAAAAATCACGCTTCGTTGAACTGTGTGCTAAATGCGTTCTGACCACACGATGACGCGCAAACCCTCGCCGTAAAACCTAAATCTACGGCCGCCGCGTAGTTCGCTATTTACTGCTGACTGTTGACTGCAAAGCGTGCGTGCGTGATGTGCGATTGCTGTTTTAGGTTTAGGAGGAATATGCGGCGCGCGTATTTTGGCGCGGATGCCGCGTTCTCAACGCTTTTTCCTTCGATCGCCGTTGCTATTTCGTTTGCGTAAGGTAATTTTGTCTAGGTACTGAGTAATTGTGCAGTCACTGTACTGGCACGGTATCACGTCGTCGCATCGTCATCGCTCGGTCGTCGTCAATCGTCGTCGTCGTTTTGATAGCGACACGGGCGGAGCACGTGCCGTGTTAACATCCCCACGCATGCATGCTTTATGTTCGTTCGTAATTTTCATTTAATAATATTTGCGGAGTTGGTTTGCAGGTGGGCGAGGGTGAAGTGGCCACTCACGGCGCGTTCTGTGATGCGCGCGTGTCTGTATAGCCTGCCGGTGTTGTTAGGCACCCTTATATCAACGATCATCAATGAGTCATTCCGCTGTTAGATGAACTCAATGTCATCTTCAAAGGTTACCTGGGTAATTTTGTTAATTTAAATTAACTTAAGGAGAATCTTATCGGTATTTGGCTATCTGTCAGACACAGCGGTGTGGTTCGGTTACTGCTTCGCGTTACGTAGTGAGGTTTGTTTTCTGATTATCGTTCGCGACGATTAATGGAATACAGAGAAGCAGGCAAGCTCACAAGTACGCATACACACACAGCAGGGCACACAGCGTCACCGCACGCACGCACCGACCGCACACAGACACACCGGCAGACTCACACATCACCACACACACAACACACACATCCACACCACACACACATCACCACACACATCACACACACACACAGCACACACACACACACACACATCACACTACAGCACAGACACACCACAGGCCATCAGTTTCTTAGCGCATTTTGTAGTCTATGGTTATTTCGGATGTTTTGCTTGTGCTGCTACTTTGCTTGTTATCATATCCCCAATTTGCCTTCATAGCGTCTGTGTCAACATCTACATGGCGATATGTACCTCCATATTCCTCTGTTGTGACGCTTCTGCATGCGATCTGTCCGCGTCTCGTACGCCGCTACAGCATGTTGATCTGTCGGCTCCGTACGCCACTACGCATGCAATCTGTTGTTCCCGTAATACCGCGTACGCATTGTGATCCGCACTCCGACGCCGCTACGTCATGAATCGATCTGTACATGCGCGTCCTCGTACTGCCTGCTACCAATGCGATCTGTCGCTCTCGTACCCGCTACACATGCGATCCTGTCTCGTACGCCCTCCTCTCTGTCGACGCCACCGCTAGCCACCATGCGATCTGTCGCTCCGTACGCCGCTACACATGCGATCTGTCGCTCCGTACGCCGCTACACATGCGATCTGTCGCTCCGTACGCCGCTACACATGCGATCTGTCGCTCCGTACGCCGCTACGCATACGATCTGTCGCTCCGTACGCCGCTACGCATGCGATCTGTCGCTCTGTACGCCACTACGCATGCAATCTGTCGTTCCGTACACCGCTACGCATGTGATCCGTCGCTCTGTACGTCGTCGCTACGCATGCGATCTGTCGCTCTGTACGCCACTACGCATGCAATCTGTCGTTCCGTACACCGCTACGCATGTGATCCGTCGCTCTGTACGTCGCTACGCATGCGATCTGTCGCTCTGTACGCCACTACGCATGCAATCTGTCGTTCCGTACACCGCTACGCATGTGATCCGTCGCTACGCATGCGATCTGTTGCTCCGTACGCCGCTACACATGCGATCTGTCGCTCCGTGCGCCGCTACACATGCGATCTGTCGCTCCGTACGCCACTACGCTTGCGATCTGTCGCTCCGTACACGTCCGTGCGGCACGCTGCGTGCGATCCGTTCCTCTGCGCACGCGCGTGTCTGACCATGCAGACCTCAACCAACTCTGCTCTCGTATCTCATATCTCTCTCTGTCTCTCTCTGTCTCGTAGATTTGCGATTTTGGGCTGGCGCGGGTGGCAGACCCGGAGCACGACCACACCGGCTTCCTGACCGAGTACGTAGCGACTCGCTGGTACCGCGCCCCCGAAATCATGCTCAACAGTAAGGGCTACACCAAGTCCAGTATCCTTGCGGGCCGGTGTCCTGCCACGCGACGCTCGGCCGGGGCCACCGCGCTTGCATGCGCTCTGGTGGCAGCGGCACTATGAGAGAGAGCTGGTAGCTGGTTATGTTGGGTGGTGGGTGTGGGGGGAAGCACTTGTGTTAGGTAAAGGCACTATGAGAGAGAGCTGGTAGCTGGTTATGTTGGGTGGTGGGTGTGGGGGAAGCACTTGTGTTAGGTAAAGGCACTATGAGAGAGAGCTGGTAGCTGGTTATGTTGGGTGGTGGGTGTGGGGGAAGCACTTGTGTTAGGTAAAGGCACTATGAGAGAGAGCTGGTAGCTGGTTATGTTGGGTGGTGGGTGTGGGGGAAGCACTTGTGTTAGGTAAAGGCACTATGAGAGAGAGCTGGTAGCTGGTTATGTTGGGTGGTGGGTG